GGAGACGTCGCCAAGTCCCGATACTGCAATGGCGAGACCAGTCATCCTTACCTTACATGAAACAAAACGTAACGGTAAGACAACACAAGGACTGTCCAGCAAACAATGTTCCCATCCATTCGGATTCTCAGACCAGCACTCGAGACAAAACCTATCGAATTGACTTCCTTAGAATAAACAAATCAATTTCTCTCTGACCATACATCGCCTTCATTCACTCTAATCGCGCGCTTGGGACTCGTATGTATGTACACGTGCGTGCACATACAACAATACACTTGTTTACCTTACTCCGTACAGCTTTGTACGTGTTGTACATCATTCAAGACCATTTCGCTACACAACCTTCTATTTATCTCCAGGGGAATCTCCGGTTGGTTCGAGCTTTTGAGTGTAGAGTACGTGCAGATGTGGCTTGCAGGCTTCTGCAGAATACCAAGCGCTTGCGATTGTACTTTGTACATGCAGAAAAAAATTGGAGAGAAAAGATAACACAATAGAGATGGAAATGGAAATGTAGTCAGCAAGCCATTAAGTCAGCTAGAGCCTAGCAGGCAAGTATAAATGAAGAAGGCAGTAAACACCGAAAAGGTAATGCAAGAGAAGAAAATGGATACGTGATACTAGAGTTCTACCAATCTCTTCTCATAAAGTGATTTTGTAGTTAATAAGTGAAGGGAATATAGGTACTAGCGAAGTCTGACGTGGTACTTATCCACCTGTCATTGACGATGAAAATGGCGATATAAAATTGATGTGCCGTATAGCCATAACCATAACCATACTGTTAATCTCCTCAAATCGTCATTTGTTGAAGTAACAAATACCTGGTTCGGTAGGCACGGAGTAATTCGTGATCAGCAAAGGATCCTTGGCATAATAACACCTACCGAACCATGAAACCATTGATGATCTGATCTAAACTCTTCGATTCCAACCCCTCCATGATTTGAACAAACCTACAAACTCTAAACGCCGATTTCATTAGACTCGGGGTTGATGCTGGTCTGGTGTGGTGGGGGAAGTGTAATGCAACTTGTTCTACTCTTCTAGAAAGAAAAATAAGCTTGATAAACAGTCGGTGAAGAAGCGAGATCAATGCAAACTGCACCTGGACAGACCCCAACCCATGTTTACTTGTACACTAAATATGCAGACTATCTTCCTTCAGACGTTGGAACTGAAAGTTCTACATGTTATAGAAGTAGGTACCTAGGTAGTTATGTTGTATATGTAGGTAGTATTGTTAAAGTTCTTCGTGCGGCATGATTTGATGAATCTTCTTTAGGTTGACCGCACATGACGCCTTGATATTTTAATCGTATTTATTTGTGCCACCTATGTACAGAGAGTAGTAAGAATTATAAGTCTACAGAGTATCTAGTAAGTATCTCCAAAAGCTCATAAACTTTTCAGACGTTGGTGGCGGGGTTAATTCTCGAGCCAGCAGTACGAAGGTGGCACGAAATAAACGCTTTGACAGTCTCTGTAACCATGCGAGGGCATGATTGTTGAACCAAGAAAAAAAAAGATGTTAAGATATCGATCAAAGGGACAAGTCTGGTTAGAACTTCAGAAGAAAGATAAGATCTTATCTGAATACCGGAATAATATTTGGTTAGATTTTCTGCTTACCTATGAAATATTCAAAACCATGTCCATGCCATTGACGCAAGCCAGTTCCCTTCCTTTCCCTCAATCTCACCTCCTTCATCTCTCTCGCTTCACCGCTGTCCTTGTCCTTGTAACAAATCTCTAATCGGAGAAAGGATTTGATAATTTTTTTCTGACGAAGGATTGTTCAGTCGTTTGTTTCCCATTCGCAATCTTAAACAATCGTATTTTGATTATCTGATTACCTAGACAACAGCCGTTACGGTGGACAACGATAAGAAACTTATCCGTGATTCAGATAGAATATCAATTGATCTCTTTCTCCTCCTTCGCTTGCTCCGTTAGAAACGGCGTCATTTCCGATATGCTCATTTCGTTTGAGAATGTCGCAGTGACGCATCCCGAGGCATCCGATACCTAGAAGAATATCTTTCAAAAATATGATATATGATGAAAAGTAAATCATAATGTTGAGAGTCACCTGCTTAATTTGCTCATGATTGGGGAAGCACTCTTTTTTTGCAGATGAGATGTAATCCCCACACATATTATTGTGCATATCCCATACATGCACGCCGTGCTCTGTATGGCTTGTGGAATAAAGTATTCGCGAGGCGCGGCCAAGCTTACATATTTGACGGCGCATGTAACACACCTTGACGAGTGAGTAGGCTAATGGTAGTTAGTCTCTTGGATTTTATGACCGACATATGCTGCGGCCAGCATATACTGTTGGCCTACATATCGTATCCTTCCTTTCCATTCTTTTGCCTTGGATGTTTTTTGGGATTACCTTCCTAATCACTCACTCATCCCATCCAAATGCATGAAGAATGTGAAAGAGGAAAAAAAAAACGTATCAAAAAGTTGCAAATATCGTAGCCACACCACTTCAACGATGGCGGGGCTCCTCATGCCGAAAGGCGTCATTCCTATTTTGTTTTCCACTGCTTTCTCGTGTCTCTCGTACACCGATCATTCGATGGTGTGTGCGTTAAATCCACTTCTTCCATTCGTTATCAATTTTGTGGATCAAACACTTAGTGAACTCGTGTAAACCGTTTGTATGGAGTGATGAAGTGATAAAGATGGCATGACAGACAATCATTCTCATATTTGAAGGGAGCTGAGTCAGGAACTAAGCGCGCTTGACTCTTCAAAAAGATCACAGACATTCGGAATGTGAAAGATTAGAATGGTTTCACATGACCTTCTCACACGGGTCATCGAGGCTGAATTTGTGTTTCGCATGTTTCGTATCACCAAACGTATTCGCCCTTGGAGTAATATGGGTTTTGATGAAGATGTGGCTGAGGTCAGCAGAATTCTTAGAGAAGAATGAGTGTGCCATGGGATGGCTTGACGCGTATAGATTATGAAAAGATGGTGGCGAAGATAGACTGGAAAATGTGTCTCTCGAAGGAGTCACGACATACAACCATTGTAAGATATTGAAGCGGTGAAGGAAGAAGGATTCGTAGTTTGGGACCTAAAGATGCAATAGTAGATGAAGGTATCGTAAGAAAAGGTAGACGGTAGCTTATGTTATGTCTGTTCGTGGGCCTTGGCTTGTTACCCCAGCCCTCAAGTGTCTTGTCTTTCTGGTCGAGCGGGCGTAGATAATAGTTGGCGTAATGATCCACTTAACCGTTTCCCTAATAAGGGTTTGAGTTTGGGGGCTTTTTACTTCATCTTCGCTGCCGAGTCTAGGATTCATTTCAAGAAGAGCGAATCGTGACAAGATTCCTCAAACATTGCAAACTCAAATCCGGAATGGAGGGGTAAGGAAAAGGATATTCGGGCACGATTTCTCTCGAGGGAAGATTTGTGGTGACTTGTTAAAGTGATGGTGGGGTGTTTGAGACAAGGATAATTTATAACTTATAAATATGAAAAGTCGGCTGGATGTCTTGGATGTCTTGGATGACTATTGCTTGCCTTTCCATAGGAAGCCCTGCAGGCTGTAAATCATTTTTCTGCCCAATAATCCACCCAGCCTTCAAGATTCCCCATAGCATCCCATCAAACAGTATCCAGACAATTTTCACCATGTCACTCAAAACCTGGTGCCCTGGACCAGAAATCTTCCGATGTCCAGAGATCTTGACCCATAAGGTCAGAATACTTCCCCCCTTTCGATATGCTTCGTGACGTCGTCGTGAATGTATTCTGTCGGTACTTCTTCGTGCAAACCGGCGAGACTGGGTTTTCCAGTATCCGACGTGTTCAAAAAAGTGACAGCAGGTACTCCGTAAATCACAGTATACCCACCCGTTGCGCGAGGGCAACATTCATAAGGCATCAAGGGACCTTGGAGGGGTGATGGTCGAACTCCGAAGACAAGGCGTTGATGAAGGAGATGATGTACATTGGATATGCACCTTGGCAGCCTTGAATATGGGTAGATACGAGTAATGGTCGTGAATACATATCGGTGCCGACGAGATGATACAAAAAGAAACAAAACAGGTGCAGATCTGTATCAGAATGTGTATGTCTACAGGGGGGACTGACTGAAACGAGTATATGTTATGATATAGCGGTGGTCGACGATGAGGTAGTACATCGAATTGTATCGAATTATCAATCCCGTTTTGGTAACATGAACAGTATCCAAACCTACTGATACTATCCACTACCTACCACCTACTGCCTACCTCGGTATCACCTTTTTTTCTCTCTTTCTTTCTTTCTTTCTTTCTTTCTTTTCTTTTCTTTTTTCGGCGTTGAACTCGTGTGTTTTGATTTATCCTCGGTCGGAGGCAGGTAAGCAGCTGGACGGAGTGTGAAGAGCTGTTACCAGCCAGCCGTTACCATTAAATGATCAAAGTGTTAATTCCTAGACATGTCTGCCCGTATCTGCCCATACATGTCCATATCTGCCCATATCGAGAATAGCCCTTCCCGCCCTTCTCGCCCTTGTGTCTCTTCTTGTGCATCCTAGGTAGTATATTTGCAATCTTGGTAGGATTTTTCTTCTTTTTGGAAAAAGGGTCTATTGATCTCCTACCTTGCTCCCTTGTGTCCTGGTCTATTATATTATTACATTTACGCACAGACTTCAGCCATTAGAGATTGGAAAATGCGACATTCTAACCTATCAACAACTCGATAGTAAATACTCCAATTTCCAATTCCACTCCACATCTGCATCGCTCTCCCACTCTTCAAATTAACGAAACATCCTCACCTATTATATCGTCCGACTTGTCCATCCTCGCCGCCGCCAAATTACTGTGCTCGATAAGTGCATAGAATAATTACGCTGATCAGAACCAAGAGAAGAGTGAGAAACATCCCCACAAAACAATACATCCCGCTCTCCTCTTCGCATACCTGCTGAATGCTGAATATTCAATACTCAATCAATACTCAATACTCAATACTCAATAATTCAAGACTTCAATCCAATCAAATTCTATTCCTGTGCTGGTATTAGTGCTGGTGCCCATTGCTCGTCGCTCTTCGCTCGTTGCTTGGTGCCTCTTCATACTCTCCACTCCTCGCTTTTTGAATCGTATTTCCTCTAAACGGACTTTTTCGCACACATCTCTCCCCTCTCTCTCTCTCTTCTTCTGCTTCCTCTTCTTCCCGAGGTTCAGTCTACAAGGTCCTTCTCAAATATTCATTTTCTGTTAATTTAATTTCTACAGTACATAAATTGTTCAGCACATACGCTACGACTTGATATTGCATCTGGCGTCGCAAACTAGGAAGAACCCTTAAAAAAAGCCAGGGAATAGATGCTTGTGAGTGGGTATTTGATCTCATGTACCCTGGTCTTACAGTAGTGGAGTATTCCTGTACAACGAAAGGAATTCGACGAACGAACGGCCGAACTCGCTTTGCATATCCATAACGCCTGCATACATACAATCCATACAGAAGGAAGGCCCTCGAGCCTGGTAAACTATTGGTCCCTCGGAACCTTGGTATAATACTTCGCAAGCGGCAGAACTTCTCTGTTTAGATATCGTCGTCGCAGAACTTAGGGAGTTTTCCACCCTTCTCTTCTTCGTTCGATCTTTTTCTCTTCCCAAGAAGTGTCGTGAAAGTCTCAGAGCTGTGTTGCTCTAGGTGTTCCGCACCACGATAAGAGCGTTGAAAGAGGTACGTTCAAAAAATTTCCTATCCGTTTTCGATCTTCGTTCCGAGAAACATATCTTCTATCATATGCAGGAGACTTTTTTTCGCGAACCTAAGAGGCAGTGATCGTAGAATTTGATCTTCTGCGCGTGGAAGACACGGGCGAAGAGCTTCATGGCTTTTTAGGAGATGGCACCAGATGGGATCTTCTTTCCGAACCATTCACACATGAGATACCATGTTGTTGTCACACCAAATGAATTGAAAACCTTCTAACGACGTTGTGTAATCTGCAGACTGCCCAAGCAATTTCTTTCTCAAAACCTCGAGTCGTACTATTGCCATACTACGAACGTTTCCCTTCGAATACAAGGCCCGCTGGTAGCCTGGTTTGAAGCGACTCTTTTCCCGTCGAAGGGCTCTCGATTGTAATAAACATTGGTGAATGAAACACATGCATCCTTAATGATGGATACTGAGGATGGACAGTTCTTCATAAAGGTATTTGGAAACCCCTGACTTCATGCCTTATCATGGCAGTTACTGATAAAACTTTTTCTCGCAGAACTTGGCCCACTTCGTTCGTACACATGAAAAGGCTCTCGCGAATGCTTTACAACTACGACGTCAACAAGCCCCTAAACATGGCTCCTCGAACAGCATATCTGGTGCTGTTGGAGGGTCTACCATCCCTTCCCCAACAGTGACAAACCAACCGTCATCTGCCTCTTCTTCTACGACTTCTAGTACTCTAGCAGCTGCTCTTTCTCTCCCATACCTTACCTTCGCCTCTCATAACATCAAACCTGCTAAGCTCGCATTAACACCCCATCATCTATTCTATCTCCTTTCCCGAATTGAAGATCTAGGTGTTCCAGTTGGCCCAATGAATGTGCGGTTAGAAAATCTTCATGCAGATACATCAGCAGCAAATTACGTTTCTTTTCTGAGTCAATCCCAACGCCCGAAAGGTCGTGGTTCTGACAGTGGATCTATTCACTCCGTGTCTAGCGTGAGAAGTGTGATGTCTGGCATGTCTTCTTTGTGGTCGAATTTTGGCCTTGGGTCTGGAACCTCTGCCGCTCGAACAGAGAAACAAAAAGCTGCCACTGAAGCCGACTTGAAGTACCTATATTCAGCATTTACTAAAATTCCTTGCCTTAGACTTGCTCCAGATCGTCGCGCGCGTTTGATTGAAGGCTATGAAGAATTCCCGTTCGATTCCGCCGTTCCACTGATTGCCTTTAAAAATATTAGTGCTTTGGAGATAAGTGATATCGATATTCGACAATTTTTCGGTTGGGACAAGCTAGCCGAGCAATTAAGATCATTGACAGTCAAAAGGGCAGGTGTTGATGATCTAGCTGATCTATTGATCAATATCGTGTTGGATGATATGGACAAAAGGAGGCGGCGGTCTTCCAAGGCACAAATGTCACCAACTTCAACCTTCATTCCCGCATCGAGTCCAAGACGTAGCCCAACAATGCCACATGCCGAACTAATTAAATCCTGTTCGGCACCTGGGTCACCGGATGGTCGCGGCCATATTATTGATACTGAAACAAGAGGATTAGCGCGTTCTGGGTCCGACGGGGCCGAGTTTGGCAAATCTCCCACCAAGCATGGACAAAGACCAAGAAGCAATTCTCCAGTTCGTCCACCAAGTTCTCGTACCGGCTCTTCACATGGCCATCTTCGTGGCTCATCATACAAGGTGAAGAGATCCGGATCCGGGAGTTCACATTCAAGCATGTCTGATAGCTGGCACAACCCGCGGAATAGCACCTCGAATCTGTTATCTATGGGTTTTCTGCCATCTTCAAAGTGGAGATTCTTGAAACATCTTAGCATTGCAGACAACGGCCTGACGGCTATTACTGCCTCCAGCCTTGCACCCTTAGCCAACACCCTCCACTCACTTGACCTTTCTTCGAATCTATTCGCCCAAATCCCAGATTGCTTAGCGTCCCTTACCGCACTACGAGCATTGAATCTATCTAACAACATGATTGAATCTCTTCATTCTCTTACTCGGAACCCACTGCCTGCTATATCTGCTCTTAATCTACGGTCAAATCGTCTCACATCACTAGCCGGAATTGAGAGGCTTTATCCTCTAGAAAGGCTTGATCTCCGTGACAACAAGATTACTGATCCAACAGAACTTGCTAGATTGACGGGTATTCCAGATATTCGAGAAATATGGATTAGTGGCAATCCATTTACCAAAACACACAGTAACTACAGGACCACGATCTTCAACTTATTCAGGCAAACTCCAGGATATACCGAGGATATTTTGATTGATGCTTATGGACCAGGTTACACCGAGAGGCGGCATCTAGTCGAACGTGTTGCAGAACGGCCAGGTGTGCCTGTTGTCAAACCACCTCCCCCCGATTATGGTCTGTCCGCTATCGAGGTCAACAAACCAATTATCGAATATGCTGCACCAAGAGAACCTGCAGTACTTCGGAAAGAACGACCAACACCCGTTGCTGCGACTAGTGAAATCAACACTGGAACTACGGGTAGAAGGAGAAGGACCCCAAAAAGACGAATCGTAGATTTATCGACTTCAGAGACGTCACCAAGCAAGCAAGGACTGACCCGCGTTGTAATGCCAGAGGAACCGCCACCACCTATGCCAAGAACAGTGTCAGATAGTAGCTATGGCATAAGTCCCGTATTTTCTCCTACGATTCTTCCTTCCTATGTACCTTCAGAACCTCGTCAGGCCCAAAGACAGCCGGATGTCCCACGTATCAACACCTCAGTATTACCTCGTCTACCTCCAATGCCAGCGGTAGAATCGGTACCTTACGAAACAGCAATCAAGCCACAGCCAGTCAAGACTCCAGATACCCCAGACTGGAACATGAGCGGTGAGCTATATCGGAAGAAGATAGAGGCTCTAAGAAATGATGTTGGGCAAGGATGGTTGAGTGTGTTAAGCGAAGAAGGCTGGGAGGCTCAAAAGAAAAGTCAGCCGCCCGGATATCAAACCTCCGAATACGATTCAGCAAATACTATGAGACCGGGCTCTACAATTAGGGCAGTCAGTCAACAGACAATACACAGCGGTCGCACTTTGGGTTGAAGTGCACACACCAAAAGCGATTTATTTTTCATGCAGATATAAAATCAAAAATGGCTCGACTTTTAAGAGCGCATTGGTCGAATGGTTGGAAGGGAGTGTAGTCCCTGCGGGTGAAGGATCATTGTCAATATTGATGGTGGTTAAGTTAGAGGGAAGTGAGAGAAGAGGAACTTGTTTATTTTGATACCCCAAACCCATTCTTCATCGTTTTTGAGAAAATTGCATGACGGACGACTCTACTCTCGATATAAAAGGACACATTGCATGAAAGAGGCACTTTTTTTCTACTTTTACTTATTTTTCTGGCTCGAATTTTTTTTATCATCATGGAAAGCATGCATAGCGTTTAGGTTGGAGGTTCATTTGCTGTTTTTATATTTTTCCTTATGAACGAATCAATGATGGATTGGAACAGAAAAAATTTCGGCTTCTTCGAGAATGAATGAATGGATTATGTTACTAGATCTTGAGTGAGCGAGAGAGAGAGAGAGGCAGAGAGAATGGAAGAGAGCAGAGTTATGAGGAGAGAAATCTTCAGTCAGAGAGAAAGCAATGTCATGTTTGTAACATATTGGTTTTTTGTGCATGGAGTTTTGTGGTTAGGGAATACTTTTTCATTTCACCTACCCATGGGTTGATATTTGAGATGGATGGATGGGTCGGGGCGTTTGAAGTCACGAGTAATTATTGGTCTGCCTGGCCTGACATGATTGGGGTTGGGATCTGGATGGTAAGAGCATTTACACGAATAGTGGATGTGCTTAGGATAGAGGGGCGGAGGTGGGAGGCTTATGTCAATGGGTTATGTTCAAAAAGGAGCAATCGAAAGTGGTCGATTCAAGTTTGGGGTTCGGGGAAGCAGGCGGGAGGAGGGAGAGGGGAGAAAATGAACATGGGAGAGGTGTGAATAGAGGTGGATTAATGATATGAAAATTGTTCTTTTGTGATGATGAATTTTTTGAGTATTTTTCTGCATTGCAATGTGTTGTGAGTACAGAGAGTGAACAACAAATTCTCCTACCGAGAACGGAAAACTCGGATGATAGTCAGCAGCAGATGTGTAGGTATTTCCAGCAAGCGTTGGACAAACGAGCATACAGCACAAGAAACGGTGAGAGGAGTTATCTATGACATCATAACACATATGCACGAAAAAACTCTATCCTTATGCTTTCTGGGGACTTTCTTTGATACTGGAGAGGTTGGAAGACTGGACGAAGGAGAGGGGGTTGGAGGGGTAAAAAGATATCGGGAGAAAAAGGAAAGGAATACCCTTGAAGTTGCTGCCCAAGTCTAAATTTATTTCTGCACATCATCTGATCCTTTTTCCGTATTTCCGTTTTGGGATTGGGGTCTCCCATCTAGCGTCTCTTATTATCATTGACCACCAATGTCGGGATTGGATGGATTCTAAGAATACTACCCAGGTACCTAGTCTCTCTTATCGGATGACTGTAAGAGGGTCTATCCTGAGCAGGAAAAGGCACATGGGGGATGGCGAATGTGAAGCCTCATCGGATGATTCGCATTCGCATCGGATGATCGGGTGATGGGTGGAGGTGGAGGTGGAGGGGCAGATGCGTTTGGGTGGGTGGATCCACTCGGATGGGTCGATCCACCCAGCTTGTGTGTGGTGAAGGGCGGCTAAGTGGGAGGAGAAGAAGTTAGTGGGTGGGAGTTTCAGCCCTACTTTTTCGGCGGTGAGGGGTAGGGCGGCGAGGAACTAAAGGGTTGGTGCACAGAGTTGCAGATTTGCCTTGGTTGGTTGGGATTTGTGTTTTAAGGTTTGGGGTTTAGGTTCGGGCGTTTAGGCGTGGGTACTTCATCGGGGTTTTTTCCTAGTGTGCCATTGTTGATGTACATACATACATACATACATACATACATACTTGGGTTGAAATTGTTTTAGCGGTGTCGCTGGTCTTGCTAGCTTTGCTTGTTTGCCGTGGTGGAAATGGTAGAACTTAGCTTTGAGCGGTATGCGTTTTGATATTTGCTAGTTGCCTTACTTTACTTTGCTTTACTTTGCTTTATTTTGCTTTATTTTGGCTTGAAGTCTACTGTCTAGTGTCACGTACTTCAATCATTTGCGCATCGACGCGGGCGCGAATACATCAGCTGGTATGAATACGGATATGCGGCCCTTGGACTTCGCGTTCACATTGTTCTTCGTGTTTGCTCGTGCTGTCTAGTGGTAGAGCTAGTTGTATGATAGAATATGGGCTATAGTTTCTGCAGTAGTGTTCTGTCTATTCTTACCGCTTCTTTGAGTTGTCTATATTGCGTGGGTGGTTGTGCGAAGGGGGTTATGCGATATGTGGATGTAGAGTCTTGATTGGAGAAGGCTTTTGTTGATGGTGTGTGTCTGGGAGACGTTGGCGCTAGATTGTGGGGTGGTAGCGGGATCGTCCTTTAGTGCTTGGTTTGTCTTTTTTGCGTCGGCGGGATTGCGGGGTTACTGTTGTGCTGCGCTGTTGTTGTTGTTATTGTGCGGAATCTTCTCAGTCTATACTAGACCTAAATTATAGATTGTATGCACCATGCATATACACCATGGGGTAAAGTTGGCACATTCCTGCATTGGGTCCTGCGTGTAAAGTACATTCGTGTCGCACGTCTGAAAATGCAAACCAACCGCGGACCGTTGAATGGTTTTCATACGAAATGTTATGTGCTTCGCCAAAGCATCAAGTTCTTTCTTGTGTTGTATGTTTTGTGTGTACGTACAGTTGGACGCGGTTGACATAGTTTCAGATGGTTCTTGTCGAACTTGCGTTTGTCTCTGTGGCATATATGTATGTCATACGGACCGTAATATGTTTTTCACAACTTCGAATTTCAAAGTGGTAAATATGAAATGGTTTTCTACAGATAGGAGTATATACACACCGTGTTTTTAAGCGCGTGAGATGGTCATTTGTTGGGAGGATGGTTCTCTGGCTTCATATATACAATTTCGTACAAACAGTCAATGTTTTGATTGGCTTCTGGTTGATGAGATAGACATAGGCATCTGTAGCTTCTTAAAATGGCTCAACTACTCGCTACTATATGATGGTACCTCATTCTCTCTCGCTTCCATCCCTATCGGCGTATGTAGCTACCGAATGACGTAATGAGGTCCTATACTGTACCCAAATTGTTTTCTTCGTCTCGCTCCTCTACTTCTCTCATTCTCAGCTCGCTTGTTCCTGTTCTTGGTTCTCTCAATTATATGGTGGAGTATGACATGAGAGGTTCAAGGTTCTTGCATTCATTTCGTCTACTATCTGCTAGGTTGAGATTCAACATGTCTAAATTTAAATTCGGCTACTTGAGAGTGTGTGATCCGGGTGGGATGGTAGATTTGCCTAGACTGTTGGTTGCGGCAACTCTGAGAAGTTTGAGATTGGAAGTAGAAAGAGTCTTGATATGTGATTTAGATGTGTGTTAATGAAGATAGTGAGATAGACGAAAAGAACTAGGGTGGCTGTGCGCGGTTGTAGATGCTTGATTCCCGAAGAAGCTGTGGTCATTTCATATCTACAGAATGAAGAAGATCATTGGTATGGTAATTCATCTATATAATATGATAGATAGCTTCTTAATGAAGATAATTCGACTGAGTTGATACTATAGTTTTGGGCTTATGATGTACATGGAAAGTATACAGTCGGACAGATAGATAACTGCGTTGACGAGACTGCTACATTAGCTCACTTACCTTACAGTAACTTACTTAATGTGATGTATCGATATTGTCAGAAGAAGAAAATGACTCAGGGGAAGAGAAAAAAGATACAGTCCTTCGCTAAAAATAACCAGAATCTTGTTACCTTCAGAGCCACAAGCGGTGACATAGTTACCAAGATGTCACGTGATGATGGCTAAAGTAAATGCTCAACACTTTAACCACTTCCAGAAGCATCAGTTCTTCACCAAATCCACAACAATCTCTCGAGTCTCTGTTGACTGTTTCCACCAGATTTCAAATAGAGTTTATACGCGAGACCACAAGTCGAGGTAGCTTTACCTCCACCATAGCATTACATTCGCAATCCCTCAAATCGAGTCATCAACCACACTACAAACTCTACAAACTCTTCAAGATGTCCAAACCACCCACACTACTCACTCTCCCCGCAGAGATCCGTCAAGAAATCTTCTACTACACTCTCTGTCACCAGAAACTTCTCCAATCCTTCATCTCAAACCGGATCGTTATATCCAAGCTCCTTGGCCTCAAGGGTCCCGACGGACATAGGCTTCCCCCCGATAAATGCGAGCACTTCTACGGCACCGAAGTCATGAGCTCCATGTTTATCGTTTGTCGTCTCATGCATGCTGAACTTGAAGACATTCTGTTTAGACGCTTCGTTTTTCGTGTGCGTTTAACTTCCGCGCGAGAATTCATAGATACGATTAGTCCCCGCGCGTGTGCTTTGATACGGGAGATAGAAGTGGTTGTTATTTTTGATCTTAGTCGTGATGAGAGTCCTACACAGGAGGTTATGAGTAATTTGAAGGAAAAGCTTCCGGTGTTGAGGAAAGTGAATGTGACGGTTGTGTTTGTAAAGGCGCCGTTTGGTGGTGGTTTGGCGAAGAGAAGAATAGATGGGTTTGCAAATAGGATTGTGGAGTTTGTTATGGGTTTTGCAGAGGGTATGGAAGTTGTGGTTGCTGGGAGAGATTCTTGGTTGTGTAAAAAGGAGATCATGGATGTGTGTAGTGATAAGATGGAGGAGCGTATGGTAACTTCGAAAAGGGAGGGATTGGACTATGATGTGAAAGTTTTAATATTTCAGAGTTCTTAGTCAACTGATCGATAATGACTTATGCTAAAGGTATCTTACAGATTAGTTCTCGCGATAGCAGGATTATGATACTTTAACTTATCAAACTTTTGAGTGATGTCAGGTTGAGATCCATAATTTCTAGGTATACGATCAAGAGTGATTTTGGTAATAGATTCCCGAATAATTCTTACACGGTGACCTATCTATGTTGGGGATTCAAACTTGATATCAAGGTCAGTTCAAGTGACAGTGTGTGACATGACATGGCTAACAAATGCGAGTGCTATAGTCACGCCAATGACATAATATCTCCCATCTGATATATTGGAACCTTTGGTTCCATTTTGCGCACCCAAACTTAGATGCTTTATGTCATCCGATTTCAATGTACCCTAATATATAAGAGACATGATAGAACCTATGGCACAGCAATATCGAGATGATGTGATGTGATGTAACACTGCAACTTGACATGGCCGTCGTTTCAAACCCCTATTTTTTGCCCATTCTATGGATCCAAATAGTGTATTCGTCCGGCTTTATTCTGAGCACGCTAGGAAAGACATGCCAGATACAGCACAAAGCCCCCAAAAGTTCAAAGGAAAAGCAAAATATAGACTTGGACTTGGGAAAAGATCGGCTTTCTTTCATATTTACACCACGCTCAATCGTCAAGTCCTCTGTCTCCCTCCACTACAACCACCAACTTCCCCCTCGCTTTTTCCTACCACATCCACTTCATCCAATATCAACATTTTACCATCCAGAACCATGCTCCCCCCTCTCACAAAGGTCAACCCCCATATTCCCCTTTTCCATAAGTCCTCTTTCCAGACAAAGATATTGATGTCCAAACAGCGCAGCCCACCCGCACTTCAAATTCGTATACTATTCACATCTGGATCTTCGAAAGTTCCACCTTACACTTGTCCCCTGTCTCTCTCTGTCTTTGAGAGAAAGCCAAACATAAACAGGATAGGTCCATCTCCCCTACAAGTTTCGCCAATACCTCCCGATCACGCAACAAATCTCTCTCCGCCTTGTAAAAAGACAACTGTCACGGTACACTATATCCTGAAACACAAACACGGAAGATTCATCACCAGATCCCATCTCCGAAACAAAAGAAGATTAAAAAAAATCCGTACCCATACATGAACAATCAATAGGATCCATGCGCCCTCCAGTTCCCGGTCTCTCTCATCTCGGCGGGGGGGTTCCCCCTAGTCATAGCCATCTCTATCTTCAATCATCAGTCACGACATACGAACAATTCACAATTTACAATTACAATTCGCTTTTTCACCACCACCAGTAACATTTCTTCCTTCCCCCGCACTCTTCTCTTTCTGTTTCGCTTTCCTCGTTTGTCTTTCCCTAGAATCTTCCAATACTCCTCTACTCTGTTTCCGTTTCCATTCCAACCTCAACATCCAAATACCACTCTCATCCTAGAAAACCTATGCGCGAATTACATCTATCCCCCGACATCTATTTTCCTCACCTCTATCCCCCACATCCATCCCATTCCCTCTCCACACTATCGTCACGTAGCATAACATAGCATAACATAGCACAGCCTTACACAGTCATACACCATATCTTCACGAGAGAATCGAATGACGAGTCACTAAGCAACCAATCCATCCCAAAGCTTTCAAATATGAATGTTGAAATATCTCAAACTCCCTAGTCCCGTTTATCTCTTCCAGGTCAGTCAACCAGTCAGTCACATACCCACCCACTCAGCCACTCAGCCACATAACTGATTGAAGTAATATTGATCTTCTGCATTGGTACTTGTATCGATATTGATACGTCAAGAATTCTTAGGATAAGCGGGAGAAAATGTATTTAAAGATGTCATGTGATGATAGAAGAATAGAAGCGAGCGAGGGAGGGGGAAGAAGTGAATGGCAGAGGGGAGAGGAATGGAAGAGAGAGGAAATAGTATTAGAAAATCAAAATAGAATAATCATGCATCTACAATTCATTTTCTCAACTGATCTCTCGTTAAACAAACAAGCAAATCAAGCATTATTAAATTATAGATGGATATATATGTATACAAAATACAATAGAATAAGCAAACGATCAGTGGCCATTATTGATTATCTTACATTACACCAAACAAATCAAAAAGTCAATAAAGCATTCAAAGCATAACAATCATTCATTTTTTCCTCATTGTCTAAACTAATTACAAATAACAACCTCAACTCTAAGCCTTGCGAAGATGTGGAGGAACCCATTTACCACCAGCAGCAGGTTTAGGCGCAGGCGCAGGAGTAGGAGCTGGAGCTGGAGCATCACTAGGCTTTTCCTCGCTTCTGCTTGATGGGCTTGGACCACTAGCTGTTCCCTTGGCTGCTTCTCTTTCTCTCCAGGTGGACTTACCACCGGCAAGAGCAAGAGGTGCACGTCTCTCTCCAGTGGATGACCCAGTACGTTCTGGAGTTGGTGCTGGGCGAGGAGCTCTTTCGGTAAATGGTGCTGGACGAGGGGCAGCAGGTGCGGAATCGGAAGGAACCTCCTTTCCTTCAGCACGGAGTCTCTCTTTTTCTCTCCAGCCCAACTTAGCGCCGGTAAGAGCAAGAGGAGCACGTCTTTCACCAGTTGAGTCCGATCTTTCGATGGGAGCGCCACGAACAGGCCCTCTTGCCTTTTCTTCAGCTCTTCTATTTGCAGCTTCCTCAGCTCTTCGCTCTTGTAACGCAGCCATCTCCAAGGCCTCTTGTCTCTCCTTCTCACGGATTGCCTTGAGCTCTGCGAACTCAGCCTTTCTCTTCTCTTCTCTCTCATCCTTCTCAGCCTTCTCTCTTTGGGCACGTTCTTCTTCTTCCCGAAGCTTTCTCTCTTGCTCTTCACGCTCTCTCTTCTCACGAATCTTGCGCTCCTTGAACTCCTTTCTACGTTGAGAAATTTGTTTCTCGAGTTCCTTCTCAGCATCACGACGACGTTTGTCAAACTCTTCGTGTCTGCGCTCGGCAATATCATCACGGAAAGATTCGTAATGAGAAACCAATCTTGCCAATCTGTGCTTGAGAGCAACATTTTCCTTGTGTTTGGCTTCAGCATCCTTCAAAGTTTGAGCCTTGGTCTTTTCATAAGCGGCCAAATCACGTTGTCTTTGTGCTTCATAGTCTTCTGGCAACTTCTTGGCTTCTTCCTTTCTGAAAGCTCTCTCGAGATGATCAATACGTTTACCGGTAATTCTCAACTTTTCGTTTGTATCATTCTTCTCACGCTCGAGTTGAGCCAACTTCATGGCACGAAGTTTGTTGCCATCAAGGTTGTCCAAATCATCAAGATCGATGTCAAGAGCCTTGTTGCCAATTTTGAGGTCATCGATTTGCTTTTGAAGTTCTGCTTTTCTGACACGCTCCAACTCGGCCTTGATACGATCATCCTCACGCTTCTTTTGTTCGGCTTGAAGACGCTTGTCCTCAGCTTCTTGGAGTTGTGCAGCCTTGATGCGTTTTCTTGTGGCTTCTTCCTTCTCTTTGCGAGATTGGATTTCGGATGCTTCCTCCTTTCTCCTTTGGATGATTTCTTTGCGTTTCAAGGTCTCCTTGTGCTCTTCATCTGCACCAGCCTTAGCTCTTGCGTATGCTTCATCACGAGCCTTGATTCTTGCTTCATTGAAAGTAGGATCAACATATTGAGCAGTGATATACAAAGCCTTAGAAAGACGAGTAAGTTGAGTTCGTACAATTTCGGAAGGAGTGTTTTGGAGTCTTTGAACAGAGGCAGTTTCGGACTCAGCAGATCCTGCACCAGATCCTGCGTGGATTGCCTTGGTAGATGAGAAAACATCAGTATCGAAGCTAAGAACACCAGTAGCGTGATCCATTCTGATAGCGAGATCACCCTTCTTGTTACCGTTCATGATGAACTTCTCAATTGTTTCTCTGGTAACTTGGAATGGCTCTGGGAATTGGGCGAGGTTCTCGACGAAGTTGAGATCAACAGTCTCGTAGACTTGAGAAAGTTGTTGGAAGAGTCTGGTCAAGATGACTTGTTGAAGAGGAAGAACATATTTCTCCATCTCGGCATCAGCACCAATTTGAGACAGAATTGGGGAGATCTTCTGGCAAATTGAAAGAGGATGGAAGTCAACTTCGAGAATGTTGTAAAGCTCACGAATCTCAGGGCGGGCACGCTTGAGAAGTCCCTTGCTCATGGCATCCTTGAAAAGAACGGCACGAGTAGGAGCTTGAGCCATACCAAGAAGATGAGTAAGACGAGAGTTCTTGTTCTTCTTTTGCTCATCAATGTCAACCAAAGCACCACGAGATCTGGATGTGCTAATCACGGGGATGGCGAGGGCAGACAAGAGAACGAATGAAGCAGCCTTGGAGAGGTCAGCCTCAGAGGTTGCTGGGTTATCCGACTTCTTGCTTTGACCAGCTGCAACCATTTGAGCGGATTGACGGAGAAGGTTATAGTATCTTGACCATGCAGCAGCGTGGAAGAGATAGTTCTCACCAACCAAGAAGATTCTGGTCAACTTCTCATAGTAGTTGGCCATCATAACATTCTTAGGTGGCCTCTTGCTAAGGCTGAGCAAGGTGTGAATATCCTCAACACTTCTGAAAGCCTCTTGCCACAACTCAAGCTCAACTGCAACATTCAATTGTTGAAAACGGGTCTCAAGATGACGTTGAAGGGTGTCTGGGTCGTTGAGGTTGATGGCATGCATCTGAGCAGAGTACTTTGCAGCAGTTTGAACATGGTTTCTGAGCAATTCGCACAATCGACGGAACTCGGTCTTCCTGGTGTATTTTTGGCAGAACTCGAATGCTTGCATAGCAGTGCTTTGGTACATGATTTCCAATCTGGCATTGTTTCGGAGGATATCGAGAACAGTTCTGTATGTCTCCCACAAAAATTTCAACCATGGTGTAACAATGGCGCGATCTGTGCGATCTCTGGATTGTTCGCCGGATACTGTTGACAAAAGGATGGACTCTGGGGTTTCGGTAGCTTCCAAATCATCGACGCTTGCGGTTGCTGCTGTTGTATCTAATGACGATTGAACCTCATCGGCCTTTGCTTGCGCAGTCTTCACTTTCTCTTCGGCCAACTCGATGAACTTCTTGAGAACGAGCTAGATCAAATATATTAGCACCGCACATGGAATCAATACTACCACCGCTTACCTCGATCGTGCCAATGTTGGTGTTTTGACTGATATTCTTGTATTGGTATAAAGCGTCCTTTGCGAGTTTTCCTTTCTTTTGTTCAACGGATTGTTCCACCAACAAGAGCATCACAGGCTCTAATGAAGTAATCGGGGCATTTCTCGATCTTTTTGAAGTAACATGTTCGTGAAGTAAGACCAAAGCTGCTTGAGCTTGTCCGACACCCATCAACTCATGGGCGCGCTTGAGGACATTCTCGGGTTTTTGATGAGGTGGAGGAGGCATGCTGGGCAGCACTCTAGTGGTGTTCGTAGGGTGTTGCGATAATCTGGCTGAATATTTTCAAAGATAATATATTTATCTTTGAAAACAGAAAAAACGAAGCGGTTCCTGCCAGATAGTATTGTCCAGGGCTGGGTAGGTACTCCGACTTGATGGATATCGAAGTGGGTTGAGGTTTCGTTAACAAATTCACGATAGCGATAATTTCATACAAGAGTTCATTCGTGTGCGGAAAGCTAAACTAAAAATGGTTAAAGCTTTGATTTTTTAAGGCAACAACCGACTTTGAAAGAAATATTTGGCGGTGAAAGGTGGCATAATAGGCAAGAGGGGTGAGTTGAGTATCAAAACAAACTGAAGATAAATATAGATACACCAAAACACAAAGGCCAATTATACGGCTATTCGAGTATCGATTTGCACCTATACATGAAGAGCAGTCGACTATTGAACTTTCAATGACCCTAGGAAATTGAAGAGTATCATTCACTTGATCGATATTCGACTTCGCCCCCTCATTCTCTCGAGTATCAAGAGTCAAGACACGCTCCAAAATAAACCACATAAACAACACATATCCAGCTATCTTGAAAAACTTCTTGCCTGCCATCAAAAAATCTCCTAGGGTTATGTATGTACCTCGAACATGTAGGATCTTTGGATTCGATGCCCTATAATCCATGTCAACTTCGTTAAACAAATGTCTTGAGTGATAATAATATTAGATGTCCTAGATATGTATTCATTCTCAGATTCCTTGTTGCGTATGAATCGAGGAGATGAATGTCGTAAAGGTCCTTTAAGTTAGCATAGAATTCCATAGTTCAATCAAATTTCAGGATCTGATAGATCGTTGGGGATAGATGTCCTAGATATCATTTCTTAAAGCTCTGTTAAGTTTGGCATACGGTCCTGTCAAATCTCATATCAAGGATGCAAGCCCAGATAGGTCTTTTATCTAACCGTTCCAATCCAACAGAGGATCCTGCGGCTTGAACCGCATCCTAATTCCTCTCAATACTCTCCCCAAACCCTAAATTTAAAATCCACCACACTCCTCATCTCCAGGTCTACATACCCCAAATCCTCCCTCTCCTTCCAAACCCGTGATTACAATTTTACCTCTCTCATTCAACGTTACTTTCTCTTCTTCTTGCTTCTTCTCCTTTACCTCTTCTGGCTTTGCTTCAATCAGCTGGGCAGTAGAGACGGGGCTGGAAGCTGGAGGTTGAGAAATGGCACTAGCTGGGGTTGAGGTAGATGCTTTGAGATCTGTTGGTGCGGAATCTTGCTGTGCTGAAGATTGGAGTTGGCTGGTGGGTGCTGAGTTAGAGGTAGGAGGGGTGGTCTTTGATGTTGTTGCTGGGACTATTAGTCTCATTGGAGATGGGCGAAAAGAAAGCGAAGACGAGGAAATAAGAGAGAAATGATGGTTTGAAAAATTGGGGTCGAAAACTTACATTTCTTTCCATCGACATGACCCAAATCCCTTGACGGATCAATAATGTTTCTCAATCTCTTTTTCAGTTCTTTCGTTTCTGATATTATAGTGTAATTAGTAACCATTCTTGTCCAGTCATTAATTCTCAGATTCATCAAAGATGGTGTTCAAAAACCTCAATTTCTCTCCGGATCTAAAACCCACCCTCTATCCAATATCTCTCGAGCAGTAAAAAGACAAAATTGAAAAAGGAGTACAAACCAGGAAATCCTCCCTCACTCTTCCGATCCCAAAGCGTATGTTTCAATACCTTGACATCCTTTACTTCGTCCACGTTCTTTCCAGCTTCTCCTTCTACATGACGTGTAGCACTCTTATTCGCGTTTGCATCTGTAAATAATTCGACAATAAATGTACCACCGGTACTAGGTTGGAGGGCGACTTCTCCGATATCTGTCCCGAAGGTTGAGAGGAGTTCTTGTGCAAACTATTTACGGGTTTTTAGATTAGAGGTGTGAGGTTAGAGGTTTGGGAGCAATAAGAAAGGAGAGATGAGAGATCAATGGAGAGGTCAATGACAGGTTGAGAAAGACAGGGGTAAGAGTAGGAAGGACCTCCTCCAACTCTCACCCATAGAGAATGAAATGCAAATTAGGGCCAGTGCCTGTGACTATCAAATCGAAAGGCCTTATATATCTCTGCACCTAAACTCGAGTCCGCAAGTGAATCGTCCAAGGTAATAGCAAGCATGACTCCACAGTATACCCTTACATCGGATAGACGGAAATGCGATGTCACTGACATGCTCGCCCTTTCTATTTCCATAGACAGATGAGAATACTTATTCCACACCCCATCAATGCATCAAGGCACTGCCAGGAGAAAAGCCCTGAGTAAACGCCAGTAAAGACAATCTAGGCATCTTCCCTCCTTCGGTGATATTACATCACTTCATGATATTCTCCACAGCCGAAGTATAGTACAAAGGGGGCAGATCACCGGAGGATTCGATATCAATTAACATAGTGACATGAATCCACTCGGAAGAGAAGGAATACTCCCATTTCCACCCCACCCCACTCTACTCCAACCGTAGAGATATCTTGTAAATCTATCAAGCAGCTCGCAAGACTTCTCTACTCTGTTAGACTCCAGATATCAATTCAATCCCCTCCTTCCAAATGGGAACAGCCCATCGTTCTTGAAAGACATCCTGTCTCAACAATTCCTCCAAGAGCGAGCCTTTCTTCCTATTAATAACAGTTGACACTGATTTATCTCCCACACATCTACTCAAATGTATATGGACGTACAACTGCACTTGCTTGAGACTCGGTGACCAGCAGTATCATCCATCCATCCATCCATCCATCCATCCATCTATCTATCTATCCATACAATAGGCACACTTAACCATCCATACCCTATGCCCTCTCCAAAAGGCCCAAGAAAGCAAGCCAACCCACAAACTTCAACTCTCAAAAAACTATCCCCAACAAAGAAAAGAAAGAAACAAACAAACAAACAAAGAAACGAAAAATCCACATACATAAGCCGCCCTCAACATCCATTTACACTGCGTACAAAACTGAATCGACACCCGAGGAAGTTTAATCCCATCCACCTGACTCATCCCCTTCTCATTCTCATCTCCATTCTGTCTCTTTTCCTCTCCTACATCCTGGGTGACAATCTTCATTTCATCGATTTTATCCATCTCATCCATCATATTATCCAAATCCAAATTTAAACCCTAACCCAAATGCAAATTCAAATTCACATTCAAATTTCGATACACGAATCCGAATCCGATTTCCCACTATACAGTTACTCCTCCGTATCAAATCTAAATCAATCTTCGTAATCCTATTTCTAGTCCTAATCGCGATTCACACATGCAAACATCAATATACGAGTACCGATGCCTGTATCAAATATTCGTGTTCATTATACAGAATAAATGTATAATTTTACACATTTATTGTAAGAAGTTACCTAGGTAATTATCTACCCTACCCTACCGGCTGTACGAGCCAACCTAGACAGGTATCGTTTTAACTTTTTTTTCTCTTTGGCCCGCCTTCCCCGGTTAATTCGAATTACATTGATTGATTGATTGCCGGTACTCGATCGATGATTCGATTTATTTGGTTCGACTTATTCAATTTGTTGATTCATTCATTCATTCATTCAAATCCAATTCATAAATTCAGATGCACTCTTCTCTGTAATTATTACATGCATACCTAGGTACGTACATATAGGAATATATAGCTACCACAGTCTACAAGACCACTACCACTACCGGTACCTAGCCACTCTTCCCCATCCTATCCTATCCTATCCCAATCCAATCCATCCAATTCATCCAATCAATCCAATCCATCCAATCCCCATCTCGAATCAAATCCCCCATTTAACATTTCATTCCCATTTAGTTTCCCACCTCGGCGAAGACGTCTGTGCTAGACCTACCCAGTCGAGCCAGTCCAGCACCCAATCCAATCCAATCCAATACCCAGTACCCAGTCCATAACCTCTTCGTAGCTACCCACCATTCAACATCCACGTCCACCCACCTCAACAATAAAAATAAAATCCCGAAGTTTCTCTCTCCCTCGTAGCCTCTCCCTCAAATCTCAAATCTCAAATCTTGAATTAGAATTTAGAATTTCCAGGACCAAGGTAAGTAAGTACTAGCCACTCCAACCCACCCACCATACAAGCAAGGTAAGAACACCTACCTACCTACCTAGGTAAGGATAACCACTTACAAAAGTGGCTCAAGCTCCCATTTGACGCACGCACGCACGCAAGAGCCAGCCAGGAGAAGAGAAGAAGCAAAAAAGTGAGGAGAAACAGGAACAGAAACAAAATCAGAAACAGAATAGAGATGGGTCATGCAGAACAGACGGATGCATGTAGGGCAGATAGATGCAGGTGCAGAGTGAAGTTGGATAATTTTACTTTGGACTTTGGACGACTTCCCTCACTGTATATACATACTTACTACACATATACTTAGAACAACTACATACCTTAATCCTTGAGTTTGCACAGAGAGTGGGATGAGAATCATGAGATGGATTATGTACGTAGGTAGGTAGGTATAGTTTTGTACATACATACATACATATATATGCATACTTTGAGATGAGGATTTGCTGAGATAAGATTCCTTCTCATCTGTTCCTCCCTCTCCAGAAGAGGATCACGAGAAGATATGCAAACACCCAAGGACCTCACAATTTACCTTACAAGCAATTATAATCACCGGAAGAAGCAAACACCAGAAGAGACAAACCGACACACATCTTCAGAATCTAGATACCAGCCTCGATACCTAGCGTCCATTCTTCAGCTCATCACCCACCTATCTCCTCCGAAGATCTCAATCCCTAATCACATCACACCATATGCACCACATGCACCACATACATCCCATCAAACAACCTTTCACCGAATGAATCTATCAAATCAATCAACTGTCAGATAGATAGCTACATACAAACCTAATACCTACCTACCTACCTACCTACCAACCAACCTAATCTCTCTCTCCTCCAGTAAACCATCACTCATCAACCATCACGCATCACGCATCACGCATCAAGCATCAAGCACCACAGATAACCTAGCAAGCACATCAAAAAGAAGCAAAATCAATAGTCTACAATCCATTACATGATCAACAAAACACCATACCTCCGCACCCATCTACATCTATGTGTACACCTACCCAACCCTACCTAGCACCAAATCATCCAAACACTTTTCTCTCCACAAAGCAAAGTAACGCAAAGTAAAGCCAGTAATATCCCCAGCCAGAGCCAGCTTCTCCCATCCATTCATCCAAGTTCGTTTCAGCTGAAGACCAAACCAAACCAACCCAAACCAAACCAGACAAAAATCCCCATCGCCCATCGCCCACATATAACCAATCCCAACAAGCCAATCCCATTCAAGACAAAAGAGTATCAAAAACACCTACTTACTTACTTACTTACTTACTTATGCACCTATACCTATGCACCTATACCTATGCACCTATACCTATGCATCTGCACCTATGCACCCAAACCAAACCCAAGCCAAAAACACAAAAACCAAATAAATTAGTTACGAAATTACGCCATCCACTTACCAATCCCACACCAATCCCACACCAATTCCACACCAATTCCAAATCTCAATCGCAATATCAAATTCAATCCCTCCCAGAACCCACCTCCCCTCCCCTAGGTAGGTAGGCTCGTAGGTTACACAATCTTTTGAGTCGAGGACAGTCTTAGATGTGGAATGCCGGAATTAAATTCGCTGCGAGGGTTTCACCTATCAAGTATTAAATATTGTATATTCGATATCAAACTTTCAGATAATAGCAAAGATACATGTAATTCACGTAATACAATCCTCACTCACTCACTCTCATTCCAAAGTCATCAGATGCGAAGTTAGATAAAGACCAAATACAATATAATATCTCAAAAATGCATTAAAAACAAAAGTCTCTTCATTCGTATAAAAAAAACAATACCATCCCAATGACTGTCCATTGAAATAATCCTATACACGAAGAAGTCCATATGAAGGTGCATACTATGTTTGTTGGTAGTCCTGGGGGGGAAAAAGGTGTAACTACTACGAACAGAAACGAAAAAAAAATTATTACATGCTTCTTTTCCCATTTCCCCATTTCACTTCTTCATCTTCCTTCTTGATGACTTTATCCTGCCTTTCATTTTCATCAAGAAAAGTCTCAAACAATCGCACGCCTCAAGATACACGTCGGAGATACAATCGAATCGAGAGTAACCAGCTTGCTATCGTGCCCTGTCGATGATGGAAAATGTACCTCCAATTGGTGAAATATGCTAATGCTTCTTCTGGTATCCTCATAAGAAAAAAAAAGCAGGCCGATAACGGAAGGGTTCGAGAAGAAACATTGGAATTTCTGGAAATAATGTCGAAGAAGGCTGAAAAGTGAATGATTTCCCCAATACGCCCCGTTAATAACGCCCTTTATTCTGGTCTGCTACCTCCCTCTCTCCCTCTGTATGGTGATGAACGTGATTTTTGTAAAAGGAAGGACCGATATCGAAATTGGTGTATCTGAATGGATTTATGAATTGAGTGATTGATGAAATTATGATTGGTCGTTGTCGGGTCGTTCGTATGCTTTCCATTTCGAATTGTCTTGATGTATTCTTCCTTGTCTTACATCACCAAGCAACATCCACCACTTTGTTGCGGCGCATATGGATCATCCTTCTTATCAACGGTACCCCAAATTGATGGAACCATAAAATCCTTAGTTTGACTGGTATATTGAATAATACTAAATAGATATCACGTATAAGTAACTTCTCAAGTAGTCGCAAGGTGAAGAAGAGTAAATTTACCTCTTAGCAGCTTGAGAGACTGGGATCCTTTCGCGTTCTAAATCTTCTCGGAGTCGATTGTTCAATTCGGTAAGACGTCTCAATTTGAGATCTGCCATGGATTGCTTATTCTTCTTGATTTGCGATGGGTCACCAACATCTCGAGATGAATAACCTTGAGGCATGATTAAAGGTGTAGGTGTAGATGGAGGTGGTCGAGTTGGTGTGGTTTTGTAGTTGTGTCGAGGTGAGCTGGATCGGGAAATTAGTTCACTTCGTGTTGCGACAGACAGGATAAGGAGAAGTCGAAGCAAATAGGTCAAAGCATACCAAAGAAGCTTATGTTCGTTGATTACAATTAAAAATTGAGTGTTATGGTGTCAGAAACAAATTGAATTGAACCGATTGTCGTTTGACGTGATTGTGATGTATTTGAAAGGAGTGGTATTGTTTGTGGTTTGGACTTTGGTGATGGTCTAAGGTCGAGAACGATGGGAGGGAAGTTTAATTTGGATTGCTGAAAAGAATCGGTACGTCGGTTCGCTATTTCCCGTTTAAGCCTTGAAAGATGTAGGTAAGAAGAAGAAGTGATCAGACAAACAGATAAGGGTGGAAAGAAGATGAAGGGAGAATATGAAGAAGTGAATATAAAAGAATATAAAAGAATAAGAAGAAGAAGAATAATAATAGTAGTAGTAAAAGATTGATATGTGTATCGACAGGAAGGTTAATTATTGTTTTGTACTCTTTGGAGAATTTTACCTTGGTAAGTTACAATTAATTACGGTACTCCTCTCTTAGTCAGTAGGGGAAAAAAAGGGACAAGACATTCGATGTGGCTTTTGCTTTTTTGGTTTCTCTTGACTCTCTCACGTGATGTGAGAAATCCCTGACAACGTACCGGGGAAAGCTATGAGGATCTTGGTACCTAGGTATCACGGAAAAGCTCACTCTCAGGTCCTCACTCTTGCAATGCGGAGGATACCACAGGCAAGCTCGAACTTCTTTGGACATCACTGACTGGTCGAAGAATTCTACCAAGTCTCACTCTTACCCTCGTAACTTCTAGCTACACTTCACCCCTTGTTATTCAAAGGATCTAGATGCCTACGTCCTCTTTGCCACATATCGAACGACTAAATCTATGAATCTCTACATTTTTCCAAAGGTTATAACTTTCAATTATCTCACAACTACAGCCTACAATCTACCACCAAATCGATCGTTCCACATGAGATTTCTAACACACTTAGGCTCCTTCACTGTCGCGAGACTGTCTAATCCCAAAGAAAGACCCACTATTTCTACAACCGACTACTAGCTGTACTGTACGATATCTACTCCGTATATCCCAATACCAACACAGAGTTTTCAGTATACACTAATCGATTGCGTTTGTCCAGTATTTCTGTTTCTCATTTCTTTTCGAGATTAGGCAATGAATGCTCTTGAAATGTATATAGCAAGCCGTGATACAAAACAGATCTAAATTCTACATGTGTCAAACTTTGTGTCAAAATTCTACAATAATCAGATTTGACATCCTGGTTTCTTCCAAATTTGCACACAGGATAGATTACTGGCTCATATTATGGTGAGCACACAATGACAATTGGCTGGTGTTTTATAATTAGATGGTTGATGAGAAACATAAACCACATAAAGGACATCAAAATTCTCATGCCATGTACATACCCCCATCCCACATAACTACTCATCCAATCCATCCCCGTCAGACATCTCTCAATAAACCACAAAAGATCCCAGTGAACCCTCTAAATACAAACTCTCATCCAACTCAACGTCGAAATCTGCACCTCCCCCATTTTGGGTCGACTTATTTGATTCAGAAGTCGAACCGCTATGGTTTCCCGGAAACTTCAACTTGGACAAACTTTGGGGGTGGTCCAGGCCCAGCTTATACTTTACATAACTATTCACGACCGACGCATAGCCTATCCGCGTATAGAAGCCATTTGGTGACATCGCCCGCTCCTGAAGAAGTAGTGCATGAAACCAATAATCTTCATGATCCGGTCCATCCGAGTTTGTCAAGATAGGAAGGACTATCACCCTTTCTCTGCATTGGTCGGCCGGTGCATCTAAAGATGTAATCACATCTGTATCTTTATCCTTCCCCGCGAGGAAGGGAAATTTACCATATCTCTGATCGTTGACAAGCGTGTCACATATTAGCAATCCCCGTGCACGAAAGTATCCATCCGAAATGGAACCAGTGTCATCAACGCTGGAAACGGGTGTAACTCGCACCTCATCAATCTCAATATGATATTTGGTATTGGGACGGATGGAAGGAAGGAGAAGAAGGCCATCGACCGAGGCCCAGGACCAAGTCGGTGCTCGATAGTCTTTCGGGCGATACGTAAACAGACCGCACCAAACAAGTTGATCTGCAAAGATCGATCTCCAAAGGCCTGCCACATAGACATCATCAAAGACTGCCCGTGTGCACTTGGCCAGCGCACTGACTGCAGCTAGTTTGTCCGAATCTTTCGTTAGATATGTTCTACTGTAAAGATTAATCCACCGCACCCATCTATCATAAGCAATGCCTTTCATGGTCTTCTTAGCCCCATCTATCAGATACTTCCTTTCATATAAATCGGAGCCCGACGACAGAGGTCTGACCTTGAAATTCTCCTGCTTGCAAGCTTCTGGCAGCCCTGCTGGGTATGTTTCGCAACTGGCCATCTCCCTGCATTCCCAGAGTAGTTCACTATCACAAAAATGGAGTGAACGAGGTGACAAGACACGTTCTTGCAAAACCCAGCCTCGCTCTAGCAGTGGTCCACTGTACAATTTTTCGCTCCAGATTTCTTCGTTGAATAGATAGAATAGATCGTTCTCAGCATCTTCCCATTTTGACTGGATTGCTGGACATATCTCCAACATCTTAGGGTCTCGAGGTCGAGAAAGACCCTCATGACTATTTTTGGAGGCTGTAGCCATTACGTTCAGGATACTATTGCCATAGACATCTTCCATCGAGACAGATTCAGTTTGCCAGTCATCGTCAGAGTCCTGTATGATACACAGTGAGTCTATCCAGATGTAAGGAATAGACAATTTTCTAGCAACAAATATAGCCTCAATAAACGTCTTCGGAAGTCGCTCGAGAGAGATACCAGCCTTAAAACTTTCCAGATTGGAAATTGTAAGCTTTAAAACATTAGAATTTCCCCAGCAATGACTTAGGGTTGAAAAACGTGAGTCCTGGACAATTTCTTCCTTTGTCACAACAAGCCTGACATATTTTTCGCCTTCATCAATTCGAAGCAGTCTAGTTGGCATGAGGCACTTGGATACCAGTGAAGTGTTGCAACTGGTATGCTTCAATAAGCATTCACGATACCACTTCGAGGCTTGTGCCAGTGCAGCATCTGACATCGTACTATCGCCTGCAATCGACGCATGATTTGTGTCTGGCCCACCATACTCTAGATTGAAGTATAAGTATAGCTGGTTGGCAAGGTCCTTAACTTCGACCTACCGTCGCGTGACACTACGGTAAAATTATGAAAATAATCATTATCATCTCCAAAATAAAATATGAGGCGCCATGATTTCTGGTAAGGGCGTCGACACAAGTGCCACGCTGAGGATTTTATCAGAGATGAGATTCCTCCGGGTGTAACATTAACATCTATCTTTCTGTTGATATATGCCAGTAATCGATGACAAATCCAACAGCCAGAGGCCGAAGCATCAATGATTGATTGCAAAGAAGAATGATGAGGATTATACGTCCGGGAAGGTATCTCGCTCAACATTTGACGGCCACAAAATATCTTCTCGCACGCTTCGCAAAGCATCTTAACTTTATGTACAGCACTGTAAATCATGCAGATACACAAAGGAGGCGATGAAAAGTCGTCTGTCGTTATGTAAACCTTACATCTATTAACGCGGCTGATTTGCGCAGCAAGGCCAACTCATCAATAAAAAACGTAACCTTTTACATCTATTTGATTGGTCCAGAATTATCTAGCCACTAAGAATTGTAATTCCAACGGCTACATTGGATAAAATAGAAAAAACACAATGAGGCTCAAGTTAGATAACTCATCCGACCAGGCGTTGGATGAACCAATTACCCACCAAAAAGCGACAAGGACGACGGAGTGTTACATATCATCGACATGCACCCTTGTCCATCCATAAAACATTTGCGCAATCTTTGCGAATCATGTTTATCTGGAACATATCAAACGCGTCTCGCTGTCTACGTATATACTTCTGAATACAGAAATTGAGTGGTATTTATCCAGCTCCGAGAATAACATACCAAAAACCCCCCAATTTGTCAACCAATTGAAAACAAAACAAGATAAGCCATCGAAGAACACAACGTCGCTTCAACAATTCCCAACCATACTTCTTCTTCACTCCATCTCAATCATCGCTGCGCCTATCAACTCAACAAACTCTCACTACCTCACAATATCAGCATTGTAAGTCCCGGACAAAGTCTGAATGTGAATTTGAGAAGTGAAATCCTCTCATCCTCTTGGTCTCAAAAGCTTGGATCATAATCATACCAGTTCGCTGAACTTTACTTCCCTTCCCAAAATTCCTACTAAATCGGCCTGTCAATATTTTCGATGACGATTCTGACAAAGCGTGGAAGAGCTTACAATTTATAACTCTTCTATGTTATTTGATATTTCGGACATTTTCTCGTACTATTATTCGATTTTGAAATAACATGACTTTAAAGGGTCTTAAATTTGGCGAGTTTAGTGCTGCTGGTTATTTCATTCATCCAGCCGGAGTTTGAGTCAGGAAGATTGTATGAAGAGGAAAGATATACCCAGTAGGTAGTACCTACCGACTATATGCAATCTTAGGTCGAGCCCTTGAGAACTAGATTGACGTACATGCACAGATATCTACAAGACGTAAATGGTTTACATGCAAGTGTGTTGGGAATGAAATCTTAAGGAAGATACAAGTAACCTTAGCAGGCAGTATCTGGACGAGAGGTAGAGAGGGAAGATTGACATGGAGGATACACTTATACTACATATGAGTAAACACACATGTTATCCTCTCTTACACAGCTCAAAGCAATTTCGCGAGACGAACCGGCCGATAGGGAGAAAGAGTTTCTGAGAAGCAACTTCATATTTTCTTGCGCACGTAATATCTATTCAGAATTCAAGAAAAACATTAAAACAAAATTAATATATATCTAACCACCACACCACACCCCATCCCCGCTCTCCCCCCTCTCTTCCCTCCCCCCTCTCCCATATACCCTCTCCCTTCCACTCACTCTCTAAGAACTTCCATCCACCACATCCTGACAATAATCCTTCCCATTCGGCTTCTCCTCATCCAGCTCCTCACAACCAAAATTGACCTCATTATTCTCATCCGGCGTCAAATCCTCCTGCGCCGCCCTATTCATCGCACTCGCGATACAATTCCACATTGCATACCACTGCTCGTAGGCTGCTCATGATGTTTCGCGCTCAACTCAAACGTGACATACGTTTCATGATACTTCAGAAAACTAGGCACGCATTCAAACTTCACCTCTCTGGTATCCGCGAGGACATGATCGCAGGCGTCGTTGATAGCGCTTTGGGCGACTTGACCGCAATTTTTGTCGTCGATGCAGGAGGGGATAGTTGGTGTCGTTGTTGCCGAAACCGGGAAGGTTGATCACGTAGTTTAGCCGAAGGGGGTTTTGGCGTTGTGATAGGTGTAATAGGTGTAGTAGGTGTAGTGTTTTTGAGCGACTTGTTTATCGGAGCGGGAGAGGTGGGTGGTGAGGAGGAAGGTGGTGAGGGTGAGGAGGGAACCTTTTGGCGGATTGATTGATAGAGATGGTGGTAGTTGGGGAACCTGGTTATGATGTGATGAAATTGGATTGAGGAAAAAAATGAAAATGAAAATGAGAGAATATAGGTGATATGGATTCCTCGATGGCTGACTGTAGGATGATGACGGTGACGAACAAAACAGATAAATGAATGATTGACTGGACGTATGAATGTATGCGTGTATGAATATACGAATAAACGAATAAAGAAACAACAAATCCATGTATCTTCACAGCCAACCCACATCTCCTATACATCAACTCAACTCAACTCCTCTCATCTTGGCATCATTCCTTCACCACACAACCAAAAGATCAACTAACCTACGTCCACACCAAAGCACTCCAATACACTCCAATCCAATTCCCCCTTACCAAAACCACACCCAACCCACAAACCCCAGAATCAAAACCCCAAACTTCAAAAGAACAAGCCTCTCCTCCATCCCATCCTTTATCGGCCTCGTTCTCCAAAAGCACTACCCATCTCTTCAACCTCACCCAAGTAGGTAGCCCTAAGTCCAACTTCTCACTCCTTACAGTCTACACCTACCTAAAAAGCACATTACCGCGCATCCAATATCCACTTCGGTCGCTTATACGGCCGTCGATCGATCGACCCGCTACCGGTTCTCGGGTAGGTCATATCTATCCACCTCTAGACTAGGGACCTATTATATCATACCATGATTGTTCTCCGAGATGTGTGTTTCGGGTGAGTTTGTGAGTTTGTGAGTTTGTGATCAAGAGCTTATGTTGTTTAGTGATATGGTATGGTATGGTATGGTATGGTATGGTATGAGGTGAGGTGAGGGGAGGTGAGGTGATATAAGCTTCATTTCACCTACCTAGATATATCTATAAGCGCCAACATCATTCAAACGAAACAGACCACTGATGTAACATAACCCAACATAACATAATACGAAACAATACAACCCTCTTTCCAAGAACAAAAGAATGAATCCCATCAATCTCTAGGGACTATCGGAAACACCAACCAAATAGAAAGTGAACAAAAAAGCGCTAAGAATTTCTCACTGAAACGTAAAGTGTATACTTTACCTCCCTCAAAGCAACTGAAGTTCTTCTCAAAAGCCCTCTCCGCGTACTTCAAAAGAGATGTAAAAGTCACACAACCCAAAACAAAATACAATCTTCGCCACAATCTGCTCACCTATCTACCTACCTACCTATCCAGACCCCTACCTACCTACCAACTCCCATCCAAGTCCTATCCACCCAACCCTAAAATTCTCAATCCTCCTCTTACAGATAGATCTCTCTACAATTTCAATACTCATTCATAAGATTGAATAAATAAATACATATCTATCTAACCACATAACTACCGGCCTACCCCGTAACGAAGCGACCAACCGACCGCGTTCAATTGTTTATTTCCGATACCTAGGTAGGTAGGTATCTAGGTAGGCACCAGAAAGTCAACTTCGCTTCACTTCGCCGATTAGTTGTACGTATTGTAATGCAGCATACCATGCTATTTATTAGTTTGTCCGAAGCTAGCGATCAACCTCCACCTCCACCTTAGCGATGAGCAGCGAGCATTCAAGCCAAAGAAAGAAAGCGAAGAAAACTAAGTAGACATAGTAGATTACATAATGAATGAATGAATGAAATTTAGTTTTCGACTTGAAGTCATACAACTTGGTAGATGATTCAACGTTTTCATTTCCATTTTGATTTTGATTCTCTAGGGGGAAATGGTGCGATATAAATCTCATCGGTAGGTACTACGTAGATAGGTAGGTAGCGATTGTAAGATCAAATAGGATTATCTTCCTGCTCTGTCTTGCTCTCTTATATACCAGGTAGATAGATAGATAAGTCTTATAATCTGAAGATTCTAAAAACAATACAGATCAACTAGACACTTACCGATGAACCACGTAGGTAAAGAAACCAAGCGATATCAATTCCTCAAAGTCAGGCTTAGGATGAAATTTGTTGTAATACCTACTTCTGCAACACAACTCTGACTCTCAAAAACTATATATAACATACGAGAGAACTTTCGGATAGAATACGTACTACTATATCGAGGGGGTTCAAAGATTCTCGAGATTGAATCTCGATTGAATATCTAGGTGAATAAGAAAATAATCTTAGGTAATAAAAGTGTGATGGTAATGTTGAATTGGGTTGTACTTATAACTCATTTATTCATCAATCTCTCTCTCTCACACACACACATATACATCAAAATCAAAATCAAAATCACATCATCAGGCTATACAATACAATACAATACAATACAAAACACCATCTACTACAACAAGATTTCTCAAAGAATAATTCCAAATTCCCATCCCCTTCCCCTCCTTCCTAAAATCCTTCCTAAGATCCTTCCCAAAATCTAAATAAACAGAGATCACCTCCCAACATCCCTTCTCAAGTTCTCAATTCCCAAATCACCTACTCACTACTCTCTATACCCTAATACTCTACTACTTCAACAACCCATATTAAAGTGACGAGAAACCTATACACATATCAAGTACCCAGGTAGCCAGTCATGAGTTCTACATACATCATGCGATCAAATCAGATGAAGCGAAATCATAACAAAAGTAAGAAAAATGAATGTAGATAAAGTGAGAAAGATGAAGAGATAGCAAAGATTTGTTCTCTTTTCAGAATACTCTTGTGATAAACATAACGTGGTTTAACACCGAGTGCACCACTTCAAAATACACCTAAATTAATCTTTTTTCAATATTTGCATTTTAATAACGAATCATTGTTTTGATTGAAAAAAATATATATTGAATAATAAGGAAAGATAAAATATTCAGAAATCTAATTTTTATATAAATATTTTTATTACATTTCTAGAAAAATCGAAATTGTTACGATGTCCGTCACAAAAAAACTATTTCAATAATAATTTTTATTTTTATTTGAATTTTCAAAAAATAATTCGATTTTTATATTATTTATATAAACAAATATAATAATTTCTTT